AAGGGTCCAAAGCACGCTTTTTTTGAGTCAGCTTTGGGGGCGATGATTGGCCCGACCAGTCTGGGGTGCATTTGTACGCCCCAGTCGAGCGAGGTCAAGGGTTGCGCGTTGGGAGAAGGTGGGCTGCAGAGTCACTAAAGACCTCCATCCACCGAGGTTAAGAATGCTGAGTAAAACCGGCAAGACAGCAAGCCCACAATGTTGGACACTTCATCAACATTGCGCGAGTTCGAACCTCAGGTGGTGCACCACTTTGGGTTCGATATGACTGGCTGATGATACGTATTAAGCCAGAACGGGCCATCTTTTGTAGGTTATGTTTTCTGCCTAGAATATTGGCTGCTGTGCGGCTGCTGGCAAAGCCCAAGAGTGTACCCCAAAGGCAGGCGTCCGTCCACCAGCACAGGAATGACCATTCCACTCTCCCGTGTTTTTACTCGCTAATTCTCATCTATCTAAGTTGAAAGTACGCAAATTGTAGCTTGCAAACCCTAAGTGCAGATACAACTGCAAGTTAGATTAAAAATTATTCAAAACTTCTGAAACTATCTTTAAAATCGAATACATCTCTTTTCTGAACAAAAAAAGCATGCATACATACTTTTAGAAAACGAAGGCAAAGGATCTAAGTTGAGCATTATTTCTTGAAAATCCATGAACTTCACATTCACTTAAGTGACCATTTTAATGGGTGTTCTCACGTAACACAAGCAAACAATAGCAGGCGACTCGAAGTGACTTAAATATCTGCAGCTTATGCTGCATGTGAATAAACTGCACAAATGCATCTAATTCCCTCGTTTTAACCAAATCACATTTCAGAGTTTGCAGTAACGTTTTGGGCGACGCGTCACATATTGCATGCTAAATACTTGGGCGCAAGGCGTACCCGTGCCGAGAAACACGTTACGACAACTGCAAATGGAATTATCCTTGACTGCGTGGAACTGTGCGCCCAAATGATCTACTAGATTCATGAAAATGCTCTCTTTTTGCTCTAACGGAATCAGTGATCGGATAGGTCGCTTTGACTAGAATCAAGCTTCATTTTGAATTTGGCCTAAGAAAGACGGCAAATAAAAAATGGAATTTGGTTTTGGTGCGTACAAAATATTACCAATTGCCCTATTTGGGGAAATACTCTGTAGCAGTTAAATGGATATGGTTAACAAAATACATTAAAAGAAGCTTATTCGTTGATAGCCATTTGGGTATCGGAAGAGCCTGTCTCTCCAACATCTTGGTCATCTTCCAGGGCAGCTATAGTCACAGAAGGAGGCCGCACGACATGCCCTGTTTGCGATTTTCTTCCTATCGGCGTTACTGGCCTGACTAACAACGACTGGATTTTAATTGGTCACGTCAAGGTCATTCATAAGGTATTAACTGCGACCACACTGATTGCTGGACTGGCACGCGGCGGTACAAACGGCAAAACGCGCGGACTCAGCGCCAGCTACTCTCACGACCCTCCAGCTGCCCTTGGAGTATATTGATGAAACACAGAGCAATGAGTCATGAAACCAGCTGCCGTCAACTTATGGTGCCTTTACTATCATGAACTCAGGAGGTGGACACCCTGTCCTCTACCAACCTTAACTTTACATAAGATACGAATAGACGGAAACGGGTGTATGAGGATTTCCGCAGTATTAACTGCCTTCGCTCCTGCCCCCTTCCAAATCCAGGGTAATGAGAAGAAATTGAGTCAGGCAGAGGGGGAACCGGATGCAGTTGCTAACAATCCATCCGTTCGTGCTACACACCATCGAGTAGGCTGGCTATGAACCAATTTTATTTTACAAAAACAAGGAAGCGTCTCACAGTCAACCTGGACTCCAGTGCTATAAGAGGGCCATTCCGGAAGTAACCGCAGTAGTCTGACGCTCTGCCCGAAGGAACAGTAGGCAGCCCTCAAAACCACGACTCTTCGAGCATATTGATAGATTAAGATGAAGCGGAACCTACAAGGATGAGACAGACCGCAATGACCATTTCTGGCTTATTAACCGTCATCAGCCAGTCGTACTCAATCCCAGGCGTGGCGACCCCAGAGATTCTAACCCGGGACCCTTGTTCATGGAGTGCAACACTCTACGATTGCATCACGGGCCCGCTGTTTTTTGTTTGTCGATTGCAATCACTTGCAATCATATTCCCGATCCTTGTTCATTAACTAGATCGGTGAGCTCCCTACCATCATATTCCCGAGCTAGCGGTAGGTTTTTGCCCCCAATGGTCGAATATCCCGTGTTCGAATCTCTGGGGTTGCCACACTTTGGATTGGGTATGACTGGTTAATAAGCGGTAAATAACCATTCCGGTCTCTGTTTTCTTTTTCGGTTCCATTCCATCATATTCTACAAGTCGCTATACGACTGCCTGCGAGGGTCCTATTGTGAACTCCAATATAACACGGGACGATCATATTCCGTAACCAGCTTGGTGATCGCCGTACTATCATAGGTTAAAGTGCTATGGGGTGCTGAATTTTGAAAGTCTCTGTCCGTGTTGGTCGGGCATCTAGCGCGAAGAATGGCCGCAAATGGATAGCAAGGTTCATGAGCATGTCTGCACACGTGCCACGGACGAGCCGACCCTGAGCAAAGGAGGTGACTGCTAATAAACTAGGACCTACAATTTTAGTCTCCCCTGCCTTTTCCGGTATCCCCCCCGTCTCCATCAACGTTGACCGCATTGCGCTTGTCTGAGGAGGTTCAAGACTAGCTTTTAAGACACAAAGAAAAGAACCCGGTCGATTAACGAACGCTCCACCCCACACACTCGGGAATGACGAATGGACCAAAGACAAAAGTGGTAGCTTTATCTGAAAAGAATATCAATCAACAAAATACAAAATTTACACATGGTATGCACATTTTCCTCATTCGTTTCGGGAGCCAAAAAGGGCGCTGAGGCCGCATTTTAGGCAAATTTTAAATGGTTACTAATAAATAGTAAGTAGACAGAAAACATGCATTATGACAAATCAAGGGATAGGTTTCAGGAAGGAATCTGAGGGTCGCGAATCAGTCAATTTCAGGAGGTTGGCGGAGGAGGAAGCTTCCAGTGGTGTAATATTAACAACAGCGTTTTTGTACTGTGCATAAAGAGATTCTGGAACCTCCCTTGGTGGAGTGACGACACAACTGCCAATGTCATCTATCATCCTGGAGAGTATTGATTGCTGGTTTGCAGATCGACCGGAAGGCGGCAACGCCGGCTTGACAACGACAGGGGTTTCGGTCCCACCGCCTTGGGAAGAAGATGAAGTCGCGCCAGCAGCAGTAACAGCAGCGGGAGACGATGGGGAGACAGCGTTCTTCACACTTGTTTCCGCCAAAACAAGGTCGATGATGTTGGAGACGCGTTCTGCTCGTTCCTTCTGCGTCAACCTTTCACGTTTTTCGGGCTTTGGGGCCTTATCTTAAACAACAAAAGAACACACACACCACCCACGTTTAACCCATAACAAGCAATTATTAGGTAGTTGTAAACGAAACACGTAAGGTCTGCACAACAATGCCTGCCGAGCGCAGAGCCTTTTCTCCGGTCCAATTAACAAATGCCAGTGCGAATTTGCGTTTAACGTAAACCAGCGAGAAATTTATAGGGATATTTGTGGCGGAGAGCCAACAATGCTGTCTGATTTCAAAGCCAACTGTCTCAAGGTCACGGAATTTCACCGGGAGCGCTTTTCGACTCGCTGACCTGAAGACCTATGACCGACTTCCACGTGCGCACACACGCGCAAACAAATAGTCGCGGCTGCACAAGAGCCACTTGAACACACCAGCCGTGGGTCAATGCAGCAGGGACCTCTACATACCACACACCCTCGGATATATACAAGACACAGTCGTACACCAATTGAACTTGCGGTAGGAACTCGTCGTGGGGCCTCCTGAGTGCGCGCGAAGCGCGCCCCTCGGTTTAATAGGCACGTGATTTTAGGGTATAGGAGGGGTGGGGCATATCAGGGAAAAATTTACGAGGGTAAGTATGGAGATGTACGCTGACCTCGGGCGAGGTCATTGAGGTACATTTTTAGTAGTAACGCTAACCCCAACTAAAATAACGGCGAACGAGTGAAGAAGGTGGAAGATTGTGGAAATTCACCCTACTTAAAATTCGTAAGTTAGCAACTACTCCCATGGGTAATTTGAAAAACCCTTTAACTTAATCGGTTATTGTATATGGTGGCCTTCCGAGTACCGTTCTGCAGTTTCATATCATCATCCAATCCCCACTGGACCTACGGCCGGCGTGCGAAAAACTGGAAGATTGTGGAAAATTCAAATTACTTAAATGTGTAAGTAGGTGGTTATAATACACAAGTTCCCTTCTGAGGCCCTGATACGTAGTCTTACCGAACCTGCTTCACAATCTTTTAAAAGCAGCTGCCACTACCGTCACACACGCTGTCAGGCGTGACTGGACGCAGTCAAGACTAGCTCTGGCTTCGCCAGCGATCACTGCTGCCTGAGACAGCAAGTCGGGGTTCTGGTGCTTTCTGTCTTTTACAACAACTTGAGATTCCACCTGATGAGTGTGCTACCCTTACCACCCTCACGACTTGGACACTGCATATGAAAAGTGACTGTTGCCTTAGCGGTTGTCTAAAATCGGGCATGGCAAAGACAGATGGATTCCGTTAAAGGCATCATGCTGGCAATCTTGGAGTTCAGCAGGAAAAGAAAAGCAGAAAATGCTTTGGGTGAGATGTCTCAAAAATTACTGCACATCGTGTTTTTTAGAGCGGCCAAGTAAGAAAAAGTGCTGTTTAGGCGCGCAAAAGAATACACCAGATTGGATTTTACTAGTAGAGAAAGTAACTTGGATGCATAAAATTAAAATGGCCTCCATCATAAATGGATCGGCCAATAAAGTGCCAGCAAGGGTGTTACGAAGGAATCCAGGCAGATGATCGTCGTTGGTGCTGAATACTCGCGTGAATCAACTAGCTGACCATTTAGCACAATGACTAACCGGATTAAGCTTCAAATAGCAGACCTGGCGGTTGTCCTTCAGCTTTGGAACCGGAGTAGATGAGCCTCTGTTCTGAAATCGGCCACCATCAAATGGTTGTTCGGCTAAAAATTACTACGTACGAAACTCGGAAAAAGCCAAAACCTTTGATTTACACTTCCGTGGCACGAAAGAGTCCCGGCTTTAGTCTTACGACGCCCTTTCCATAGAGAACTGGCCCTTAACGTCACTCTACACTTTGATGAAAATCAAAAAGCACTAATCGTATTTTCGGCATTGTCGGACACACTGTCAATGAATGGTTTATTTTCCAACTTTTTTCTTTTATAAAGCGTAGGGAACTATAGGGCGCATCAAGGGAAAGAAAGCGGTTAGATAAGTCAGTCAGTCAGTCAACCCTTATTAAGGTATTCACAATAATCCTCAACATTGTCTAAACACTAATGAGCGTATTCGTAATGACGCCCAAACTTGTTCAGTCAGACTTGTTCTCTCAAAGGGTCATTCGACAGTGGAACTCCTTGCCCGAGACTAATGTGCATTCACCCACTGTGAACGTCTTAAAAAGACGTTTGGATAATCATCTGTTAAGGCCCAACAGCCACCTAACTTAAATGACAAACACTACAAACAAACGTACTACTCGTTTGATTTCAATAGAGTTTTTATTTAAACTAAACGATCACAAGAGACTGGATATACAGTGAACTTTCTGTACGCTGCCATTCCGCAAACGCCTCACCTTTTCAGCAATTCATATTTCCAAAATATTTCTATGCACTTTTGCACAACAAAAGCGATC